GCAATGTAGCAGGATACAAGATTTACTCAAAAAAAATCAGTAGCCCTCCAATATACAAATGACAAACAGGCTGAGAAGGAAATCAGCGATACATCACCCTTTACAATAGCCACAAATGATATAATATACCTCAGGGTAACTCTAACTAAGCAAGCAAAGGACCTGTATGACAAGAACCTTAAGTCCCTGAAAAAAGAAATTGAAGAAGATGTCAGAAAATGGAAAGATCTCCCATGCTCATGAATAGGTAGGATCAACATAGTAAAAATGGCAATCTTATCAAAAGCAATCTACAGATTCAATGCAATCTCCATCAAAATCCCAACACAATTCTGCATAGACCTGGAAAAAACAATACTCAACTTCATATGGAAAAACAAAATACCCAGGATAGCAAAAAAGAATCCTGTACAATAAAACAACCTCTGGAGGCATCACGATCCCTGACTTCAAGCTCTACTATAGAGCTACAGAAATAAAAACAGCTTGGTACTGGCATAAAAACCAACATGTGGACCAATGGAACCAAACTGAAGACCCTGACATTAATCTGCACACCTATGAACATATGATTTTTGACAAAGAAGCCAAAACTGTACAATGAAAAAAAGAAAGCATCTTTAACAAATGGTGCTGGCATAACTGGATGTCAACATGTAGAAGACTGCAAATAGATCCATATCTGTCACCATGCACAAAACTTAAGTCCACGTGGATCAAGGACTTCAACATAAATCCAGTTACTATGAACCTGATAGAAGAGAAAGTAGGAAGTAGTCTTGAATGCATTGGCATAGGAGATCACTTCTTAATTATAACACCAGTAGCACAGGCACTGAGAGAAACAATTAATAAATGGGACCTCTTGAAACTGAGAAGCTTTTGTAGAGCAAAGGACACAGTCAACAAGACAAAATGACAGCCTACAGAATGGGAAAAGATCTTCACCAACCCCACATCTGACAGAGGGCTGATATCCAGAATATACAAAGAACTCAAGAAATTAGACATCAAAATGCCCAACAGTCCAATTAAGAAATGGGCTATAGAGCTAAACAGAGAATTCTCAACAGAAGAAGCTCAAATGGCTGAAAGACATTTAAGGAATTGCTTAACATCCTTAATTATCAGGGAAATGCAAATCAAAACAACTCTGAGATATCATCTTACACCTGTCAGAATGGCTAAGATCAAAAACATTGAAGACAGCTTATTCTGGAGAGGATGTGGAGCTAGGGGAGCTGTTGGTGGGAATGCAAACTTGTACAACCACTTTAGAAATCAATATGACGATTTCTTAGAATCAATCTCCCTCAAGACCCAGCTATACCACTCTTGGGCATATACACAAGAAATGCTCAATCATACCACAAGGACACATGCTCATCTAGGTTCATAGTAGTGGGTTTCTTCAAGCAGTCTTACACTTAAGGTTTCACAATTATTTCTCTATTAGTCTGAGTTTGTACAAATTTTAAATCTTGCCTCAATCTCCTATGTCCCCTATAAATGCTTCTGATGTAAACAGACACTTTTTATATAACAGCAAAAAGACAAAAGCCCCCAAACTCAAGGTAACAACTATGCAGATCAAGTCACTAAGGAAGCTGCTCTTGGGAGCCCAAATCCAACTGTCCTGGAACTATCTGCTGTTCCTGAGCCCCACTCTGCCTTGATGATGAGGTTCCTGAGTATGATCCAGAAGAGATCAAGTCATATTCTGACTTGGGGGCTCAGGAGAGCCACATACATTGTAAATCTTGCCTGGTGGAAAAATCTGCATGCCAAAAATACTGTACCAAAACTGGCTAATTGCCTCATGCTCCTCCATGCACTTATCACCTAAGAAGATCTCAGAACTCATCTCCCCTCATTTCTGGCTACCTGAACATTGAGGAAAAAAAAAAAAAACTTCAGAGCATTTCATACCACTGCCTGACCTGTGCCCAGGTAAATGCAAAGAAGGACATGCTTCCTTTAGGTCAACAGAGTCAAGGTGCTATACCCAGTGAATTTTGGGAATTGGACTTCGCTGAAGTCAAGTCAAGACTGCATGGCTACAGTAGATATACAAATATCCACCGGTCTTTGTCGATACCATGGAGAGCTGGGTATAGGCCTTTCCATCCTCAGCAGAAATGGCCCAAGTGGTAGCTAAGAATTAATAATGGAAATTATTCCCAGGTTTGGCCTCTCCATGTCTCTGGGGTCTGACAATGGCCCAGCCTTCATAGCCAAGTTACCTCAATTGTTCTCTAAGGATCTTAACATAAACTGAAAACTTCATGGTCAGAACTCAGGAAAATAGAGAGGATAAACAGAACTTTAAAGGAGACTTTAACTAAATTTACTCTTGAAACTGGTGGTAACTGGATTGATCTCTTGCCTTATGATCTTCTTATTCCTAATTATTATGTAGATACTTAAGATCTGGACATAAGCAGAAATACTAGCATTTTCTTTATGATATATTTACAGAAATAAGCATTGTATCCCTACATTTATTTATCTTTCACCACTTATACACAAATGGACAAAATTAAGCATTGTCATGCTGATAAATGTGTCTAATTGATTTGTTAGTGACTAACTACACATCAAAGAGACATTTATACAGAAATCTTCAATAGCAATGACTTCTTGATAGCCTTGTACTGCCTTTATTGAGGTTTATAATAATTCTAAATTCTTCAAGATATTATGAAATTGCTGCCCTGACCTCTTAACCCTTTTGATCACTCTGTCACCTACTTACGTTTGTAGCCAATGGATACATTTGCTGTGTGGTGTGTAATTTAGTAATTAAACTGAGAAAAAAGAGCCCACTTTTGCTTTGGTTGGGGCTGTTAAAGAAAGTAGAAGTATCTGGTAAATTGCTGCCGTTGAAACCACTGTAGCTTCTGAATTCACTGTTATTCAACAAATCCTGACATGGTGAGTTATCCAATCCCAAGAGGTCAGTCCAAAAAATGTGCAAGTACTAAATGTACTCAGTAGGCTGTGTGTGTGTGTGTGTGTGTGTGTGTGTGTGTGTGTGTGTGTATGTGTGTGATTAAAGAAGAGATCATGAATTTGAGAGGGAGTGGAAGAAGCAGGGGAGGAGTTGGAGGAGGTAAAAATGATATGAAAGCAGTACTCACATATAAAATTCTCAAAAGGTAAAGTTTAGTTTGTTGAGGAAAAAGATTTTTGAAAAAATTAGTCTGCTGAAAATTAGTTTGATAAAGCACTAAATTAAATTCTAATGTCAACAGTTTTTTATTTCTCCTTGTACTCAATAAAAAATATGCCTAAGAGGGGTAAAACACAGACCCTCAGGAAAGTGCCTTACCATTGGTTGATTCTTATAGGCCATTCCATTTGAGGTACCTTTAGTATACATTTATTTTTTTCATTTTTCTTTAATTTTGATTTTATTTTTCAAAAAATTGAATTGAAAGTTATTTTAAATTTCCGTAACATGGAATCCATCTTAAAAGACATTCCGTATATAAAGACTAATTTAGTGATATTTCCACAGTTCCTTCACTTAGTGGTTTCACGTATAGTTCATGTCAGTCATACATACACAGGAGACACTGGCTCAGAGCAGACACACGGTCCTCTGGCCTTTACAGCCTTTCTGCCCCCGCTCCCCCTGCTCCCTGAGTCTCACATGAAGGGGTTGCACTGTGGATCATCTAATATTTGTTGTATTTTATACATAGCAGTTATGCATGTTATAACCTTAGCTTCTTTGATACTTTTCAAGTGATTTATGTTTTAGTCAGGAGTTCTTATAAAATCTTAAATGTGTATAAACTTGGAGCTGGAGAGATGGCTCAGTGGTTAGGATCACTTGGTGCTTTTTCAGAGGACCCAGGTTCATTTTGCACATTGTGGCTCACAACTCCAGTGCTAAGCGGTCAGTCTCACTCCCTCTTCTGGCCTCTGTGGGCATGAGGCACACAGGTGGTAAATTTACACTCATACACATAAAATCAGAACATAAGCTTGTAACTTTAGAGTTTATTATCTGAATAAAAATAAATTTTAATTTTAAAGTTTTGTGCTTTTAAAGTCAAGGTTACCACATTTAAAAAAAAGAAAAACAGTAATTATATAACATGTAAGTTTTGAAATCTGGAATTTGTTTTTTCTAACAATTTCTAGAAGATACAAACACATGGTCAAGACTCAGTTGTTTAAGTTACTCTAATTTGTCTTGGCTTTTTTTCTTTTATTTAAGAGTCAATTAATGTATAATTTTCTTTTTGGTGTATAAAATCTAAGGCTTAGGCTTACTGCTCTGCAAATGAAATTTATTTTTTAACTATTTATCTGGGTTGCAGGTGGAGCTCAGAAGTGGTCTTGCCTGGCAAGCATGGGGCCTTGGGTTCAGTTCTCTGAATCACAAAAAAGCATAGATGGTATCAATCTTGCAATAACTCCCTGTTCAAGGGCATGGTAACTCACAGCTGTAATCTCAACACTTGGGAGGCTGAAACAGAAGGGGTTCAAGTCAACCCTAGCCTATTTAGTGAGACCCTGTCTCAAACAATAAAAAATAGCCTTTTATTCTGAGTTATTGCATGTTACAAACATTATTTATAAAATTTTTCATGTTTAGTTAGTAACTTTCTTTTTTTTACTCAGCATACCTTTTCTAATTATTATAATTCCATTAACATAGATATAAACTTAATAAATGTAATGTGCAGGGAACTATGAAAGTCATAATCTATAGACCCATATAGCAGATATTCTCAATTTCAAAGCAATTTAATTTGAACTCTTCATTTGGGTATTTAGTAAAGTATGCGTTAAAACAGTATAGGTATGCTATAAATGACATTCCAGATTGATTGGATGTGTCAATAAGAACATAATCTAATTATTTAATTTGCATGAGGTAAAAGAGCCTTGTGTAGAATTTCAAAGTCCACATATTTACACACTCGGTATAAAGACTGCATTTGAAAACTGAAAACATTGTAATATTTCCCAGTCCATCTCCTCACCGTACTATTTCCTCTGGATAACAGTTGTTAATGCTGTTGATGTATTCCTGCAAGAGAGAGCCGGGCTCCGCTTTTATCTCTTGGACCTTTTTAAGTCCTCCGCTAGTTACAAAAAGGCGCCGAGCTTTGCTGTCATGCGGCAGCACCTTGAAGGGAAAATACACAAAACATCATCTCTTCCTTCCCAAGCTAGAGTTCTACTACTAAAAATAACTTAGTAGAGAATGTATACTCAATGTATCCATACCAGGGCAATCCAAATCTGTGGGTAATTGGAAATAAAATACACTCCTTTGAAAAGTATATCAGCTTTGTATGCTGTAGAAATGAAATAAGGCAATGAACATGGGCAAAGTCAATGTGATCTACTCATATGTGAAGCTTACACTCTGAACTCTCTCACCTCTACCTAAAAGAAGGCAGGCTCCTGGACAAGGTGAAAATATTGGTCCCCCCCACCCATCTCCTAATACTTATCCAGGATCCTCACCAACCAGCCTTCAACTGCAGCTGTTTCAGTCACTGAAAGGAGGGGGGCGCTGTGGCGCTGCTTGACTTTGCCTGTGCCCTTCCTTCTCTCCAGAATGGCTTCCCACCACACAGAATCCCCCCCCCCCATCTGCCTGTAACTTTAAGAAAATACTGGCTGGGTGTCGTTGCCCACGTGTAGCCTCAGCACACAGGCCAGAGGAGCACAGGATGATGGGAACAGAGGCCAATCAAGGTTCAACAGTGACTCAAAAGCCCAAGGTCTAGGAGATAGAGGTCAGTGGCAGAGCAAGTCCCTCGGTTTGATCCCCAGCCTGGGAGAGGGGATGAAAAAAGGCACAGGGAAGAGCCTTTAAGGAGCTATACCATCTGCTGGCAGCAAACATTCTCAAAGATACATTTATAAGAGATTTAAGCCTATAAAGAGAGTTTCTTCAGTTCACTTGACTTTCATGGACTAACTCCCACATACTCTACTGATTTTTCTCTTTTCTTTTTAATTTTATCATATAATATATTTTGATCATGTTTCCTCTCCCTTCCTCCTAAGAGATCCTCCCCACCTCTCTACCCATCCAACTTTGTTGTCCTCTCTCTCCTCACCTCTCTCTCTCTCTCTCTCTCTCTCTCTCTCTCTCTCTCTCTCTCTCTCTCTCTCACTCACACACACACACACACACACACACACACACCACAACAATGACTTTTATTGCTTAGTATGAACCTTCAACATAGAAGGCTGGTGTTCATTTTTATGGCCAGTTCAGTAAGACCAGCACATCTTTCTCATTGGCCTAAAGATTAAACTATAAGGGGCATACTGTTCCAGAGCTGTTGTCTGTGGGTGACCCACTCCTTTCTTACTGCTCATTCTCAATGGCTAAATTAGCCAGTCAGTTTTTATTTAGCACCCAAAAGACACAAAAAATAAAAAAATGGATCAGCTTTCTCCATGTAAAAACGTAGTGTTTCATCTGTATTATGTGGTTAGTTGGATTGTCATATAACCAAGAGGAAAAGAACGTTTCATTGTTTTCTTGAAAAGGTGAAGGCAACACAGATTGTATACTGAACCTTACTCAGAGGTAGTTTCATCTCTGGGAAGCCTTGTTTCCAGTAACAATGACGCTTAATGATCAGCTAAGCCAAGAACTGGAAGCTGTTGGTAATCTGGCTTTCAGACGAATACCTTGAAGGAAGTCTACTAACTATATCGTCCACTTTAAGGCTTAATATGATAAGCTGCACACAGTGGCACACACTGGCAATCTCAGCACTTAGGAGGCTGCGGCAGAAGGACCATGAGTGAGCTCCAGTCCAGCTGGGGCTACACAGTGAGACCTTGTCTTTGTTCAAATTATTTGCAGAAATATAGCATGCAAACAGAAGAGTCTCATTTGTGTGGTTCTATAAGACTATTCATACGAGTACGTCCTTTCCTATTAATTAATCAAAAATGGCAATTGCCTTAACCACTTGAATGATTTGTTTCTTTTTATTTTTACTTTTTAATGTTTTGTTTGTTTGAGACAGGATTTCAACTATGTAGCCCTGGCTGGCCTGGAACTTGTTATGTAGACCAGGCTGGGCCTAAACTCACAGAGATCTTCCTGGCTCTGCCTCCCAAGTGCTGGGATTAAAGGTGTGTGCCGCCATGATAAATCTGAATATTTTATTACTTTTAAAACAATATTTGGATTTTTTGTTTTCATTTTTAGTTATTAATATGTGTCTTGAACTAAAACAATTTCTTAGTATATACTGTCTCATTTAATATTTACAATAAAAAAATCACTTACTATTCCCACCTTACACCTAAGCAAACTAAGGCTTTGGAGGGTCCAACTTTGCTGAAGAGCTGGAAAACAGCCAGGGGTACAGTTCAGTGGTAGAGCATATGTCTACATATGTAAAACCTTAGGTACCATGGCAAGTACAAAACAATAACTTCTAATCACACACAGAGCCACTGTGGCTGGTGATTGACATGGGCTCTTTTTCTGTGTTGGATGTGTAGAGCACAGTCTCAGCAGTTCTCAGGAGCCAAACACCTTATCTGACCAACTATGTCCGTCATGTGGTCCTTCTTTATCAGCTGGCGTCCAGCTTAACATTTCTATCTTACTGTCGTTAACTTACACTGAACATGCAATCGTCCAAGAAATATGACAGTCACATTAAATTTTTCATAAATTTTTGATATGCAGGGCTAAAGAGACATCCCAGGAATTAAGAACACCAGGTCATGAAGAGAACCTGGGTTCGATTCCCAGAGCCCACACGATGGTTCACTCCAGGTCCATGGAAGCTGTGCCCTCTTCTGACCTCAGGCAGGAGGCGAGTACATGGTGCACAGACGTATGTGTGAGCAAACACTCACATACAGAAAATAAACAGAAACATTTTACAACAAGTGAGTACGACCAAATGACTGACTGAATCTGCAGTAAAGTGCATAGAGTTTCTGAAAAGTATTCAGGGGCTCAAATTTTTCTTTTTCTTTTCTTTTCTTTTTTCTTTTTCTTTTCTTTTCTTTTCTTTTTTTTTTTTTTTATAAAAGTCTTTGCTGTGCTCCTAGATGTCTGAGCTTTAAAGACACTGGGAAAGATGAAAAGATACTTATCAATGCAAAATAGCAATGGGGGGAGGTTGCCTCATATCATCACCATCACCACCACCACCATTATCATCATCATCATCATCATCATCATTACTGTGTGTGAATATGAACATGTACAGGCCATGGCACATGTGGAGGTCAGAGAACAATTTTTTCAAGTTCTATCCTTCTACCATGGGTTCAGGAGTCCAATTCAGGCTGTCAGACTTGTATGCCAAGTACTTCAGCTTACTGAGCCATCTTGCTAGCCCATCATGATGTTTTATGCGCTGATATACTAGGTACTTCCTGAGAATAGTTTTAAACAAAGTGTGGAGGCTATACGGGAAATGTGGAGGAGGAAGTGTCACAGTTCTCTGTGGGTTTTAACCTATGTGTAAATACACAGTGGTAGGAGCTGAGGAATAGATAGTGAAGCCCACCCTCCATCTTACAGAAGAAAACGCAAAGCAACAAGTCAGCAGATGGCTGTTTTCTCCCTTCCTTGCAGGTGCATTTCTTACCTTACTGAACTGCCCGACAACGTGTTTCAGGATATTGGGAGGTGCGTCATACAGGAACGGCTCGAGGGCTGGGAGGTAGGTGCATTTTTGAAGGATATTCTTTATGGCTTTTTTACTCTATTGAAATACAAAGCAAAATGCATATAAAATCTTAACAATTCATAGCCTATACTCCTACTGAAAATGAAACCAGTTTACTGATCTAACCTACAGTTGTTACATTTTTTAAAATAGTTGTTTAAAAAAACTATTTTGACTGGTTTCATAATAGAATACCTTGACAGTTATCTTCATGCTAAACCTTAAAACATTAAGTGAATCATTAAGTTCTTAAAATATCTATGAGGAAATTAAAATTATAAAGTACAACATTATATGCTATAATTTATCATACATTACATAATTATATAGACAATGCACTATGGTCTATAAAGTTTGTAGATATGAAACAGGTAACTAAAATATCCTATTTTTTCAAATCAATAAATATCATCATTATACATTATACACATACATGTATACACTATAGTGTATATCTATTACACAGTGTCATTTCAGATGTATATGCATTCAGAAGTATCTATTGTGAGCATTTACAGAGGTACAGTCACGTCACAGGTAGACATTTCCTCCTCCTCGAGTAGAAGCGAAACACAATCTATTGACCTCCCGACACAGGGACTGCATCCCCCGCCGCAAAAGCACAGGTGCTGCATGTGCCCATGCTGCCCTCTCTTCAGCACGGTTCCTTCTTTCTGGACCGTGTGGTGCTGCCCCTGACGAGCATGTGACTGAAGAGCCTGCTGTGACTGTAGCATGCCACCGCTCGTTCTGAGCTTCTGGCTTGGTCTCTTGTTTCTCTTCCATTCTGGAAGGCTTCAGCTTCCCAGCTGTCATCGCTGTTCTCCTGAGAACTGCACACCTTGTACAGCTGTGCAGCTGTGTGCTCTGCTGCACACACGCCCTTCCTCTGAGGCCTTCTAATTTTTTATTGGATGTTTAGTAAATGCCCCTGAAATGAAGGACCATTTCACACTGCAACTTGTGTAAGTGGATTCTGAAAAACTTTTATCATATGTAACTGTAAATGATCTCTTGAATTTTAGACATTCCTTTAGACACCCAAACTAAGCAGGCATATATAGCCTTTTATCTTTTGACACATTTTGGCCTCAAATATTATTTCATATATTAAATATGATGTAAGAAATTCAATCCAACCTTTCCCCCACAAGTTTTGTAACCTTAAAATACTTAAAATAAACTTTCATTTTTCAACAATATTACTATTTATTATAGTGGTTTGGATGAGAAATGTTCCCCAAAGGCTCCAGCATTTGAATATATGTTTCCTATAAATAATAATAATAGTGGTGTTATTTGGGGAGGCTTAGAAGGTGTGGCCCTTGCTGGAGCAATGGTGGCTCAGAGCTTGTGGAAGTGATCAAGCAATGACTAGTGAAGCCCACACCCAAGACTGCCCGGATGGCCAGGACCTGGAAGCTGGATGATTCTACCTTGGGTAGAACATGACTGTCAAAAAAGCCAATGAAATGATTCCTAATCTATTCTGTTATACTCATAGATCAGTCCCTAGCCCAGCTGTCACCAGAGAGGCTTCCTCCAGCAGCTGATATGAGCCGATGAAGAGACCCACAGCCAAACATTCCACAGAGTTTAGGGAAACCCACAGAGAGAGGGAAGAAGGACTGTAGGAGCCAGCGAGGTTGAGGACCCCAGGAGAACAGGGCCCAGAGAATCAACTAAGCAGGGCTCATAGGGGCTCACAGAGACTGAAGCAGCCATCACATAGGTCTGCACTAAGTCCTTTGCAAATAGGTAGCTGCTGTTTAGCTTGGGGTGTTCCTAACAGTGGGAGAAGGGATGTCTCTGACTCTTTTGCCTGGTCATGGGACACTTTTCCTCATACTTGAAAAACAATACTCAACTTTATATGGAAAAACAAAAAACCCAAGATAGCTAAAACAATCCTTTACAATAAAGCAACTTCTGGAGGCATCATCATCCCTGACTTCAAGCTCTACTATAGAGCTGTAGTAAAAATAGCTTGGTATTGGCATAAAAACTGACATGTGGACCAATGGAATCGATTTGAGGACCCTGACATTAACCTACAGACCTATCAACACCTAATTTTTGACAAAGAAGCCAAAACTGTACAATGGAAAAAAGAAAGCATTTGAACAAATGGCACTGGCATAACTGGATGTCAACATATGGAAGATTGCAAACAGAACCATATCTATTGTTATGCATGAAATTCAACTCCAAGAGAATCAAAGATCTCAACATAAATCTAGCTACACTGAACCTGATAGAAAGGAAAATAGGAAATAGCCTTGAATGCATTGGCACCAGACACCACTTCCTAAATATAACACAAGGAGCATACACACTGAGAACAACAATTAATAAATGGGACCTCCTGAAACTAAGAAGTTTCAGTAAGGCAAAGGACATGGTAAATAAGACAAAATGACAGCCTCCAGAATGGGAAAAGATCTTTACCAACCCCACATCTGACAGAGGGCTGATCTCCAAATATATATAAAGAACTCAAAAAACTAGACATCAAAATACCAAACAATCCAATTAAAAATGGGCTACAGATCTAAATAGAGAATTCTCAACAGAAGAATCTTAAATGCCTGAAAGATATTTAAGGAATTGCTCAACATCTTTAGTCATCAGGGAAATACAAATCAAAATGACTCTGAGATGCCATCTTATACCTGTCAGAATGGCTATGATCAAAAACACTGAGGACAGCTTATATAGGTGAGGATGTGAAGCAAGAGGAACACTCCTCCCACCTGGGAGTGCAAACTTGTACAACCACTTTGGAAATCAGTATGATGACTTCTCTGAAAATTGGGAATCAATCTATCTCAAGACCCAATGATTCCACTCTTGGGTATATACCCAAGGGATGTTCAACCATACCACAAGGACACTTGCTCAATTGTTTTCATAGCAGCATTATTTGTAATAGCCAGAACCTGAAAACAACCTAGAAGCCCCTCAACCAAAGAATGGATAAAGAAAATGTGGTACATATACACAATGGAGTATTATTCAGCTGTAAGAAACAATGACATCATAAAATTTGCAGGCAAATGGATGAAACTAGAAAATATCATCTTTAGTGAGGTAACAGAGACTCAGAAAGACAAACATGATATATACTCACTCATAAGTGGATACTAGATGTAAAGCAAAAGATATCCAGACTACAACCCAAGCTCCAGAGAAGCTAGGTAACAAGGAGTATCCTAAGAGGGACTCATAGATCACCTTGGAAAGGGAAAATAGATGATATCTCCATGATTAGACTGGGGATGAGGGAGGAAAGAGAGGAGAGGGTGTGGGGCATGAGAACATGAGGGAATGGGATGATCAAGCTGGAGGAAGGACAGTATGGAAGAGCAATGAAAGAGATATCTTGATAGAGGGAGAGATTATGGGGTTAGGGAGAAACCTGGTTCTAGGGAAATTCCCAGGAATCCCCAAGGATGACCCCAGAATAGACTACAACAATAGTGTAGAGGGTGCCTAAACTGGCCTACCCTGGTAATCAGAATGGTGAATACCCTAACTGTCATCATAGAGCCTTCATCCAGTAACTGATGGAAGCAGGTGCAGAGATCCATAGCCAAGCACCAGGCTGAGCTCCAAGAATCCAGTGGAAGAGAGGGAAGAGGGATTATATGACCAAGTGGGGGTCAAGATCATTATTGGGAAATCTACAGAGATAACTAAGCCAAGCTTGTAGGAACTCATGGACTTTAGACTGACAACTGTGGAACCTGTATGGGACCAGACTAGGCCCTCTGCATACTGGAGACTGTTGTGTAGCTTGGTCTGTTTGAGAGGCCCCTGGCAGGGTAATCAGGATCTATCCCTGGTGCATGAGCCAGCTTTCTGGAGCACCAGAGCCTATGGTGGGACACCCTGCTCAGCCTTGATGCAGAGAGGAGGGGCTTGGTCCTGCCTCAACTGAATGGATCAGGCTTTGCTGACTCCCCATGGGAGTCCTTACCCTTTTGAAAGAGGGGATAGAGATGGGGAATGCTGGGGTTTCCGGAAGAGGGATGAGAGGAGGATCTGTGGTTGGTATGTAAAATGAATTTTAAAAATTAAAAGAAAAAAGAAAAAAACTATGTATGAAAAAACCCACTGTCAACATCATTCTAAATGGAGAAAAGCTAGAAGCTATATCTGAAGTCAGGAACAAGACAGAGATGTCCACTATTCCTGCTTCATTTCAATGCTGTTCTTGAAGTATTATTGAGTATATTAAGGCAAGAGAATGAAATAGAATGGATTCAAATAGCAAAAGGAGTAAAACTATCCATATTTTCAGATGATATGATGCTATAGCAACCTCACAAATTCAATCAGAAAATTCCTTGAAATTATAAACAATTCCAGCAATGGGATAGGATACAGAATCAACTTGTATAAATCAATGGCTCTTCTACATACCAACAACAAACATGCGAAGGACAAAATGGACACACTCTCATTCACAATAACCTTAAAGAAAATTAAAGACCTAGAAACAAACCTAATGAAGGAACTGAAGAACCTTGTTTTAGTTGGGGTTTCTATTGCTGTGAAGAGACACCATGGCCATGGGAACTCTTACAAAGGAAAACATTTAATTGAGGTTGCTTAGAGTTCAAATGTTTAATCCATTAACATCATGGTTGGACATGGCAGCATGCAGGCAAACATGGTGCTGGAGAAGGAGCTGAGAGTTCTACATCTTGATCCAAAAGCAACCGGAAGTGAACTGAACTAGGTGTAGCTTGAGCATAGGAGAACTCAAAACCTGCCCCTACAGTAACACACTTCTCCCAACAAGGCCATGCCTACTTAAACAAGGCCACACCTCCTAATACTGCCACTCCCTATGAGCTTATGGGGGCCATTACATTCAAACTACCACATTCCACACCCTGGACCCCATGAGCTTGTAACCATATCATACTGGGAAATTAATTTCATCATCAAAAGTCTCCATAATCTGTAACAGTCTCAACAATGTTTTAAAATCCAAAGTTCAAAGTCTCTTCTGAGATTGATGCTATCTC